TGTGGTTGTCGATGTCGTCGTCGACGCTGGGTAGGCGCGAGGAGGTATGAGGATCATTTGTTTTGGTTCGCGCGTGACGCTCCGACAGGAGGCGCATTGAAAAAATGTCTGCTCTGGCGAGCTGCGAAGTGTAGGCCTAGTTGTGGAGATTCAACAGGAGAAGCGCGAGAGAGGATAGGGGAAGGCGTAGAATCGGTGCTGAGGCCAAAGTCGAGGATGGCTTTCGTATGTATGTGGGTTGACGGTTGCAGCGGGTGGGGAGCTCGTGGACAAGGCGAAGGAGAGAAAGCTGAGACAAGAGACGACGACTTGCCAGGAACGAGGAGGGGCGGGCAGAAACAAGAGGTCGGTCGTGGCGTTTGTTGAAGCCATGCTGGTTCCCTGGTTGTCCGTTTGGATTTGGGAGTGGTCGCTGAATGACTGAAGTGTCTCTGGTGGGATATTGTGCAGAAGCCGTTGGCTTGGGGGGAAGGCTACCGCGGGCGGCCGACGCGGGCGGTGCCGGGCGCCTCAGCAAGGCGCGCTCATGCCTCGACCTCCTCCGCACTGCCGAAACTGGGTGCATAGCGCTTCTTCGTGTTCGTGAAGATCTCGTCGCACGCGTGCTGGAAGGAGATTGGGTCCCTCTTGCGTTTCATGGTTGCCGGGGGCTCATTCAGGCCTGCCTGCGCGAAGTTCAACTCTTTCTGCCACTGTGGGAAAGACGCGGCCTCTGGGACGGCCCACACCTCGGACAGCAGCAGCTCCTTTGCATCCACGCTGATGTGCGTGATGTGGGCGAGGGCGACGTGTTTCCGCGGGATGGAATAGCGCGGGAGCTTCGAAACGATTGCCGTGGTCGAAGCACTCCAGGTGTCATCCTTGGATTCCTCCATCGCATCCCGGACGGTGTTGACAATGGCGAACCCGTCATCGATGGACGTTACCGTCGGGTCGCGCACGCCACGGAGCAGCACCAGAGCTCCCGAAGTAAGGGTGGGCGCTCCGTTGCCTGCGGGATTGATGGCAAGGCGGCCGGTGGGCGACATCGACAGCCAGGTCAGTTTGGCGGGGAGGAGCCGGTCCTCGCTGGGGATGAACGTGGTGGGCGTGGCGGTGTCGAAGGTGCGGGGCTCTGCGCAGACGACTGCGAAACTTGGCGGCGCGCCAGCCTCCTTGCCGTCCTTGGAGGTGGCGTACCGGAGGCGCAGACGCGCGCGCGGGAAATTCACGGCGTCGGTGGAGACGGCATCAAGGAAGGAAGCTTTCGAATCCGACTCGGCCAATGCCAGAGCCGAAGATTCTGTCAGGTATGCCTGCACGGAGCCTGTGCTGTCATGTATGGAGGCCTTGGCGTAGATACGGTCCGTCCCCTTGGCGCAGAGGTGGTCGGGATCCGCGTCTAACAAAGCGACCGTGCAGCTGGGGGCCTCGAACAACTGCTCGGGCAACTCTTTCTGGAATCCCGACATGTACTCGAGGACCGAAAGGTTGCACCACATGGCTCGTCCCGTCTTGTAGTCGGTGGTGTTCCCCGCCGTTGACAAGGTAGAAGTCGTCATGCTGGCGATGTCGAGGGCGTTCAATCTGGCGGCGCCCGGGAGAGACCCTCCAGCTTTGGCGACGACGGTGGTAGAGCTGGCCGTCAGGTGGATGCCTCCGGATTGTTCTTTTGTAAGCCACGCGTGGAAGATATACACCACGTCGCCCTTCTCCGTCTCACTGATGACGCCGCGGTCCTTGTCCCAGAAATTGATTTGGAGGATGCGGCCTTGTTCGTCGCAGATGTGGAGTTCGCTGATGTAGCTGTCCTTCTGCTTGAGGTCGCGTTTGATCTCCGCCGCGCGCCCGTGGACGTCGAGGAGCTGGTCGCGGGAGAGGCCGAGGACGTCCCCGGCCGTCATCCTCGGCTCTGCTTCAGAAGGCAAGTTCTGGGCTTCAGTCGCAGACAGGCTCTTCGCGGTCATATTCTTATGGGTCAAGTTAATGGTGACCGGGTGTGGGGCAGAGTGATATTTCGAGCCCTTGGCCTTTGCTTGCATTCTGCGGAACTGCCAGGCGCTTCCGGGTGTGTACTTGTCCTGGAAGTTCTTCAGTTCCGTTTTTTGTTTGTCTGGCGTCCCGAAGAACAAGGCTTCCCCCACGATATAGTCGCCAGACTCGCTGACGAAGTATCCGCCGAACGCCGTCAGCTTGGCATTCGTCGGTTGCCTGAAGTACGTGTGGGTGAGCCGCACCTTTAGCGTCTGCGTGGAAGCGCTGGTCACGTTCAACGTCTTCACGGACGCCATGTCGCCGGGCGGGCGGGTCAGTGTATAGGAGCGCGCGGGTAAGTGGGGGCGGCTGCGGTTACTCCGCAGCTGGCGGAATGCGCGAGGGCAACGATGCTCGCTTGAGCCGGAGGCTGCATGGGCAGCGCATTCGCTTTGGGGGGGGGCAGAATCACAGAAGAGATGGGCGCCAGGGGAGCGCAGGACGCGATGATTGGTGGACGACTCACACTTCGTCGCAGTGCGGTGGTGGCAAGATCGCGACGTTCAAGGGAAGCGGCCCGCTTCTGAAAAGCTCTCACGGGTCCAAGAAGGGGTCGCCGAACTTGATGCAGCCGTGCTGAGAAGCGTCGCGGGGTTTAGCGCGTACTCCTCGAAAGCATGTCACGCTGGGCCTCGTCCAAAGTCGGGCCCGGGTGAGGGCCTGCGGTGCGCGGCTGCGTCTGATGGTACTCTGGCATCGGGCGCGCGATCTCCACCGGCTCCATGGGGCGTGGTGCTGACTTTCCGCTCGATGGCAGGAGGTGCACGTGGAAGCGTTGGTAGCTGGCAGCAGCGCGGCCACCGCATCTCTGGATCTCTTTGTTGGTCCGGGTGTCCACGCCGTCGATCTTTCTAGCTGCGAGCGCAGCGATGGCCGCGTGCTTGAAGGCGACGGTGGCGTGCAACGGGGGTCCGGGGCGGAGAACGGGCAGCGACCCCAGCGTGCCGAAGTTCATGAAGAGGTTGTTGATTCTGTCTGGCAGCGACGCCGCTGTATCGGGGCGGAGCCAGGAGTCTGGAAATCCCGTCACCAGGATAGTGCGAGATGGATGCGTGATATCGTCTCGGTCATCATCGGAGCCGCCTGCACTGTCGAAGCTGGTGCCGTTACGGAAGGTGGCAACTCCGAGGTTGTTCTCGTATCGCGCGGAGGCCGGAGCGGGTGCTGCCGTGACAGGGTTGCTCTCGTCTCCTTGCCTGGTCGTTCTTCTGTAAGCACGAGCAACCTCCGACAGAGTTGATCTAGAATGCGTGTGCTTCTTCCCGCGCGATTTGCGGGGACGGCGTTTGGCCATGGCTTGATGGCGCGTGAAAGATATGAAACGAAGCCGATGGCTGAAAGCAAAATGGCTACGGAACGGAGGTCGGGAAAACGAAGAGGAACAGACAGCTAAGGAAGAATACGTCGGATACCTACGCGGCGAGCTCAGCACGTTGCCATGCGATCCGCCAGGTGAGCTCAGCACGCAACCGCGCGAGCCACCGGCATTGCCAAAGCGCACGTTTTCCAGAGAAGAGTCGAGGTTTGGGGAGCCCAGGGGAGAGGACCTTAGTGTTCTGTTGATGGGGTCAGCGGGCCGTGCGACCATGCGAAACACGCGGTGTGGTCAACATGCTTTCATGCGACCCACCTGGTACGATTGTGTTGTGCCTTCAATACGATCTGGGGTGAGCTCAGCACGTCACCATGCGGCCCGAAGGTAGACTCGAACATGGCCTCAGGATAGCCTCCACCTCGGAGAGCTGATGTGGGTCAGATGGGAGTCTGAGAGTTACCAAAAAAAAACATGCCTACAGGGTGCATTGTGTCGGTTCCCTGGTTGCTCGTTTCGGCAGTCTCGGGTCCTGGTAGAGGGCCTTGTGAGGCTCCTTCGGGGTTCTTGAGAATGTCGTTTGGGCTCAGACGGCATCGAAAACTAGTGGAAAGCTATGTGTTCTGCCTTGTCGGCGTGCAGCTTAGAGCATCGATGATGGCTCAAGACGGGCCGAGGCGGATCCCAGTGGCCCGAAGGTGGCACGAACATGGCCTCAGGATAGCCTCCACCTCGGAGAGCTGGTGTGGGTCAGATGCGAGTCAGAGAGAAGCAAAGAAAAGGATGCCTACAGGGTGCATTGTGTCGGTTCTCTGGTTGTCCGTTTCGGCTGTCTTGGGTCCTGGTAAAAGGCCTTATTTGGCGTATTGACATGGCGGAAGCCTCCGGAATAGGAATTTCAAGCTACGGTCACCATCGCGGTGCATGTACAAGATGGGTGGGAGTCCTGGTCGCTTGGTTAAAGGGACATCCGGTCCAAGGTAATCCTCGGAGTTGTTGCACTCATATCCGTCCGTGAGGGTGCGGCGACAATCTTGGTAGTCCAAATTCCCTCTGTGGGCAACCTTTCCTGCCATTGTCGTGCTGCCTTCTCTGGGATTGAACCGCGCTGTATTAATGCGTCCGCGGCGCGCCTGCCGGTCGTCGGTCTCGACGCTGGCTCCGAGAGAGGCATCGGCAAACAATCGAGTATCGGCCAGGATGGGCATGGACTGGTTGTCTACTAGAGGCTGGCCTCGTATTCGTGGCAATTGTGGGTCCTTGCCCACGCGAGCTAAGAGCCGTTCTACAACCCGCTCCTTTGCGACACCTTCTCCTGGGCTGTCGGCGGTGGACGGCAGCCAGAGTCTGACGAAGTGCACGAATCCGAAACGGCAGTGTTGAGGCTTGCGAGAGACGCCGTCCTCAATGTATTTGAAGCACGTGTCGTGGTGTTGATGGATGTGGCCGCTGAGGCTGCAAATACTCCAATGGTCTTCTGCAAATGCAGCTGCATAAGATGCAGCTTCGGCTCGCATGGCATCATCGTCGGGGGCGGCGCTCGCGAAGCCCCGAGACCTCGCAGTGCAGCCAACACATGCGCACGATTGTTGCCTTTCTGGAAGGATCCGGTAGTGTGGGAGCTTCGAAAGGGTTGCCCCCGTCAAAGGAAGGGCTCGTTCTCGAACTGGGGTGCCTGTGTTCGCGTCGATCTGCGTCGCGGGGTGGCGTCGGACGTGGTGGTCGACGAAAGCCGGCGCAGGAGGCACGAGAAGTCGCCGCTTAGTAAGGTCCTTTCGGTCGCCCTCGAGGTCGCCGTCGAACTTGTCCCCGCGCTGCCACCTCTCGAGGTAAGGCGTGCTTTAAAGGGGGGGGGCCTCGGAGGCCTTGTCGACAAAATGCAATGGGACAGTAGCGGAAGATGTTACCTGCAAGGCTCCAACGGCTTCAACTACAGCGCGCTGCCAACTTTGCAGAGTTGATCGCGCTGCGGCTGTGTCCTTGCGGAGGACGGAACGCAGCCATGATTGAGAGGTTCGGTTGACGAAGTGAAACACCATGTGGGAATGCGTGCTGAGACGCGCTTGCTCCTCGATGGGTCCACTCAACGATGCGTCCATGTTCATCCCACCTCCCACTGCGGAAGCTGCGTAACCGTCAGGAAAGATGACACCGTTGGCGGCCCCATTGTGCTGCAGCAACTCGTCAAAGGGTCCAGTGCCCAGGATGTGTTCGCAGAACAGTCGCATGCTGAGACGCGGACCCGGCACTGTCGGGCGCCCGGTTGTCAGAGTTAAGTTTGGCGGAGGTGGAGAGGGCGAGCGGTAACGAGGTCATGGCGGAGGGGGCGGCGAGGGGGCAGGCTGGCGTTCCAGGGTGGAGCTTCGAGGCCTATGGATCCCACGCGCTGTCCGCGGCTTCGTCTGCGGCTGAGACTGCGCAGGCGTGGGCGGGGACGGGGGGGAGGTGGAAGCCGCGTGCCGTAAGCGGCGTTGCGGAGGGGGTTGGCGGGAGATGCCGGAAGCTAGGAGATAATAAAGAACCTCGCCTGCGCAACAGGGTTTTTTGCAATTATTTCTAGCATCCTTTGCGCTGCTGGCATCGTCGGGTTCTCGTCGAGGAGAGAGACGGAATACCTTTCCGTAGCGCCGTCGTCATTCAGTCCTGACGGGGGAGGGGCATGGGGACTTTTGACATGCGATGGGGGTGGGTTGGGGACGCGTGGGAGGGAGGTCCTGGCAGGGAAGGCCGCTCTAGTGGAGTGGCGCAGAAGCATAGGAGTGGCGGTGATAGACGCAGCAGGGGAGAGGAGGAGGGGTGTATTTCAAAGGGGGTCGTGTCCTCCGCTGGTGTGGTTGAGGCAGCCGGCATGGAGGACGACCACCAAAGGGTTCCGGGTGTCTGCGACGTTTGGCGCGAGGAAGCCTCCAATGCCACCGAACCGGAGCATGTCTCCCATCTGCTCGTGGCGCAGCTGTTGACGAGCACCTTCGGAACCAACAACGTCGCTGCTGAAGAAGAGGAGGTTGCGCACGGCCTCCCGCAACGAGGCGGGAGCGTTGTCCGAAAGCAAGCACTCTCGGAAGCCGGCTCTGTCACCCATGGAATCGAAGGCGGATCGGAGTTGTGTCGCCGTGGCTTGACACACGAGGTTCACGCTGGTTTGAAAACCTCTTCGCCGCACGTGGGCCCCAGCTCTGCGCGTGAGTTCCATCCTGCGCCAAGAGTCGTGCAGGACGCATAAGAAATCTACATCGGCGCCCCAGCGTGGTTGGGCTGGCGGGACGAATGGCGCGGCGCCCCTGGTGCACTGCGCGCACGGCAGAGCGCCGCGCTTGAGAAGAGGGCATTCATGTGGCGAAGCGGCGTGGACTTGATATCGGAGCTCAGTGCGTAGCAGGAGCATGCGACACCATTGCTGGCAAGATAGCGGGCGGCGTCGGTCGATGCCGAAGACGCCATCCCCGTAGGGGAACAGCTGAGGGAATGCTTTTTGCCAGAACTCCTTCTCGTACATCGAAAGGGGGCGCTTTCCGGTAGGAATGACCCAAGTGCTGCCAGGGTTTTGCCGGGCGGCAGGCCCTCGGCCCTCTGCTGCGTCCATGGCTTTTAAAGCGCGGTCCAACTGCTTGCGGTATTCGTCAGTATTCAGGTATTTGGCCAAGGACTGAAGAGACTCAATCTCGGTGGCGATGTCGGCGGTGGGTACATCTTAGATCCGCAATCATGGAGACTTGGGACGTCGTCGCCGAATCGATTTAGTGTTGATTAGTGTCGGATAGTGTCCTATAGTGCCCAATCGTGCCCTTCAGCGCCCTCTAGTACCGAGCCCGCGAAACGCACATAGGCCCCCGCGAAACGCCCAGAGGCCCCGCATAGTGGTCTGCAGAACCCCCGAGAGGCTTCGGGAAAACCCGAACGCACCGCGGAGAAGCCCCCGAGAAGCTTCCCAAGAGTCCCCGAGAAGCTTCCCAGAGATGCCCGCTGTCCACGACCCAATTGGGGCGGCGGCGGATCTGGCCGAAGGCCACGAGAAATACATTGAGGAGGGCCCGAGAGGCATGACAGTCGACCCAAAGGGAACGACGGCGCGGCGCAAGCCAATGAATCTCCCAAAGGGCCCAACAAGGACTGGACTGAGCGGCCAGCTGACGGTCTTGACCAGGTGCAGCACGCGGTTCATCGCACGAACTACACTGGGCGCAGCGCACCTCCAGGTGCAGGCACGGGAGCGTGTGCTGGCAGGTGTGCGGATGGAAAATACGTAGGCTTCCGGAAGGAGGGCAGTGGCCCCGAGGTAGAAGTCCTCGTGCAAAGCGCGCTTGCCGAACATGTAGGACCCCCTTGTGCTGACACGCGGAGAATGCTCATTGCCCTCGTGGACTGCACATTCGCAAGCTCGCCCCAGCGCTGATACTTCGGGGCAACACGGCAAACGAGCAGGGCAAACCACCCAACGCCCAGTCTGCACATGATCCGGACGTGCACCCCGCGAAGCGAGAGGAATCTCATCTACAGAAAACGCTGGAGTACCCGGGCCCACCAGGCCCGCCGCCGACGCGGCGATCCCCCGCGCCCGCGCCCTGCCAGAGGACTGAGCCGAAGCGGCGAGGAGGACGGTAAGGAGATGGAGAAGAAGGAACTCTCCTGGGGCGCCCTGGAAGCGGAGGCTCCATGAGGAAGCGAACGCGGACGACGACTGGAGGGGCGGGGGCATCCCGCCCAAGGGTTACCATGGGCGCCCTACCAATCCCGCATCCTCGCGCGGTTCACCTCGTGGGTCTAGGAAGGACGCAAGGGTACCTCGTGGGTCTAGGAAGGACGCAAGGGTACCTCGTGGGTCTAGGAAGGACGCAAGGGTACCTCGTGGGTCCAGGAAGGACGCAAGGGTACCTCGCGGGTCCAGGAAGGACGCAAGGGCGCAGAAAAAGACGGTGGCGATGAATTACAAGCACGAGCGCCAGGACGATATGCGGCGAGTGCTGTTTTCGCGCACCTCCTGCGGTTGGCTGCTGTCCTCCCTAGCGCCTAGCGTCCGAACGTGGCTTGAACAGTTGGGACAGCGTAACTTTCTGGCGTTTCTCGGGCGGCTCGGGCTTGGACTCGGACGAGCTAGCCGCGGCCGGGCTGCGCTGACCCGCCGGCGGGCACAGGGGGGGGCCTTCGCGCGCGTCACTCTGGATGTGCTCCACGTTCACTTTCTGGAAAGTGCGGAACTCGCCGTTCCCATTGTCGGCCTCGGGCATCCACACTTCCACCCTGTTGGACCACGTGTTCTCCACCGTGCCCGTCTTCCCGTTAAACTCCTTTTTCCGCATCACGATCCTTACCTGGTCCCCCTTCTTGAAGCCCCGGGGGGCGGGCGAGGCGCCCGAAGGCGCCGCGGGCTGCCCTGGCGCCGTCGCGCCAGGCACCTGCGCCGCCGCGGCCGGCTCGCTCTTCGCGGGCGGCTCGGCCATCTCGGCATCCGCGGACTGCCCGTCCTGCCCGGTCACCGCCGCGGCCGGGCCGGCCGCCTCGGGCTGCGCGGGCTCCTGGACGGCCTCGGGCTTCTCGACGGCCGCGGGCGGCGCGGGCTGCGCGGCTGGGTCGGCCGCCTCGGGCTTCTCGACAGCCGCGGGCTGCGCGGTCTCCGCGGGCTTCGGGGCCGCATTCCTCTTCTGGACCTCAGTCGCCACCGCGTCGTGCACGGGGGCTCGGTGGCCGTCGACGCACGCCTTCGCCGCCGCTGCAACCTCGGGCGACCGGAGAATCGCGGCGGCAACGGGGTGCACAGGAGGGCGCCCCCCAACGCCCCCCTACGCCCCCCTACGCCCCCCCCCGCTCCCCTACGCCCCCCTGCGCCCCCCTGCGCCCCCCTGCGCCCCCGCCCACGCCGCGGGCGGGGGGCGTAGGGGGGCGTAGGGGGGCGTAGGGGGGCGTAGGGGGGTTCTTCGTGCCGCTCGGATTCCCCCGCCAACCTGCTCTTCGCCCAGGGCCCCGACGATGCCGCCAATGTCGCCGCCGCAGCCGGGCCCGCCGGTCGTGCCCAGCTTCGCCGCGCACACCTCCCCGAACAGCACGGAGAGCTCCTGCGGGATCTTGTCGCGCACATGGAACAGGGAGCGCGCGATGGCATTGGCGATCCTCGGGGCGGACTCCGCGATGGCAGCGTGGGCGTCCAGGAGGCCCGCGAACTTGTCGTACGGCATCCCCTTGTAGACAGTCTCCTTCGAATACAGCTGGTCTGCTTTCAGCAGCGGTGACGCGGGCCCCCACTCGCGGTACATGTCCACGCGCCCGTCCTCGGCGCACAAGTACCTCACCTTCGTCGCGTCCGAGGCGGGCCCCCACATGTTGCTCATCAAAGACATCTCCGCCGTCTTCTCCGCCCCTTCCATCAATGCCTCCAGCTTCTCCAAGCGAGCGCCGTTCCCTGACTTGTGGTCCTCGCGCAACACCTTCAACTGCCAAGCCTCGCGCGCCGTCTGGAACGCGATGTGGAGCGGCGATTCGTGGAGCACGCTGAGCTCGGACGGCTTCAAATCCTCCTTCGGCAACGCGTTGGTGGACTGGGGGCTCTGCGCGGCCATCGCCTCCACGACCTTCCACATGCTGGCCTTCGCGAAGATGTCCGTCTGCTTTGCCCCGAACTCCTGGAGGGGCTTCAAGATGGCCGCCATGTGCTCCAAAGCGGTGGCATGCTGCAAGAGCTCCTCCGAGAACCACCTGATGAAGCCGCGCACGTCTGCCTTTGCATCGTCGCCCTCCGACTTTTTCAAGTGCTTCGTCGCCAGGGAGCAAAAACTCTTGAGCCACGTCACCACCGTCGGCTTGTCGGGATTGCCATGCACGTAGATCTCCTTGTTCAGGCTGGTCTGCACGTTCTCCGCCGTGATCTCCAATTGCTTCTCGATGTCCTCCGGATTGCTCTCGGAGCTTTTCAGAAACCTCAGCTTCCTTCGCCCCGCAGCCGCCCCTTTCTTGCCCTCCGCAGCCGCTGCGTCAACTGGAGTCGCTCCAGCGGTTGAAGCCTCCGGCGTTGGCTTCGAGGAGGCGGCCTCGTCGCGCAGAGCCAACGCGCCACTGCCTGGCTCCCCGCTCGCCCCGCGAGCCCGTTTGAAAGCCACTTCGTCCACGTTGGGCCCCAGGAGGTTCACCATTGCCCGCTTGTCGTACAGCACTTCGTTCTCAGGGTCGAAACCTGGCGGCTGTTCTGCCCACCCCGAGGTGTCGATCACGCACTGGGAATACTCTGCCGGAATGTCTGGCACGTTGGCTTTCGGGACGCACCAGGCCGACGACGTCCGGCTCATCTCCACGGAAGAGTACGTCTTCCACATTGCAAACTGCTCTGGGGTCACCCGGAGTTCCTTCAGGCCACGCCGCAGAAAACCCGCACTGATGTCCTTCACGGCCAAGACAAGTCTCTGGTTCTCCTCCGTGTGGGGCTGCTTCAGGTTGTCCAGGGTGCGCCTCGTTGCCCGGATGTTCGATGGCGTGAGCTCCACCCTCTTCTTGGCCGCGTCCAGCTGCTCCTTGGTCACCTCTTCCTGGGCATTCCCCTTCTTCCCCTTCTTGGGCATGCTTGCGGCGCGGGGTACCCGGCCGCCGGGTAGCTTGTGGTCGGGAGTTTGCCGAGTGCGCTAGTAATCCTTGAGCCCGAACGGCGATACAGGCCTCCTCCTCCTCCTCCTCCTCCACGAAACTGCCAGGCGGGGTCGCCGGCACTCGTCCCAGGAAACCAGAATCGCCCAGAATCCTGACTCCAGGGAGACCGCGGAGGCTCTTGGACCCCGCGGGAAAAACGAAAAACACAACCCTTCCCCCTCCTCCTCCTCTTCCTCCTCCACCAGTACTCAATGCGAATACTACACTCCCTATTCCCCTGATGGCGTGCGGAAGATGTTCGGCACCCCCCCGCGTCTTGTTTGTTTACACACAGAATTTCCCGGAGGTGGGTTTTCATTTTTGTTTTTGACAAACCGACTGTAAACGGTCGTTCCGAAGGGGGCCCCCTCTATCATTACTCCATATGTATACTACTCTCCCTGTTCCCTGAGCCCCGCCGAGGTCGGAGCGCGAGCGCGCTCCCCCGAGCGCCGGCTCGTCGACGACGACGGCGGCGGCGGCGACGACGAAGGGGGCGGAGGGGCACGGCGGCACGGCGATCCAAGGGCCGTCTTGGGGGCATTAGGGGTCCCTCTTGGGTGCAAACCGATGTGGTGCAAGCTATGCGGTGCAAGCCATGTAACGCAGCATGTATGGCGTAAGCTATGCAATGCAATCTATGCGCTGCAAGCGATGTGGCTCACTCAGGCTCGCTCGAACTCAGACTCAGACCCACTCGCTCGAACTAGTCCTGGCTCACTCCTCAGGATGGCTGTATCTTCGCGCCCCTCACCTTCGCACCTTTTTTAAAAAGGTGCGCCCAGACGCGGAGCCGCGGCGACAAGCCCTGGCGTGTGAAATATATATATATATATATATATATATATATAACGCTAAGGCTCGGTAAAGGTTTAGGGTTAGGATTAAGGGTGAGAGGCTCCATGCCAAACGAGGGTCCAGCGCAGAGGCGGTGCCAGCGCTGTTGTTGATCCATGGAGGGTTCCTTTAATTCTTGACGCTTCGCGCACCCCCACCAGCCCATCCAGAAACGATGCCCAGGAGAGCTGACAGGAGAAGGGAGGAAGAAACGCAAACAGTGAAACAGCGCGGGCAAACCACTGCGCTCGAACTGAGCTCGTCCTCCTCGTCCTCTTCCTCCTCCTCCTCCACCTTCTCCTCCTCCTCCTGCTCGTCGTCGTCGCCCTCCTCCTCCTCGTCCACCTCCTTCCTCCTCCACCTCCTCGTCGTCGTCCTCCTCCACCCAGCGACCGAGCGAAGCGAGGCGTCACGGCCGCCACCCAGCGATCGAGCGAACGAGGAAGCAGAAGAGGGAAGAGTAGGAGGGATAAGTGCACGCGAGGGCCGCCGAGGACGGGCGGAAATAAACGGAGGAGGAAGAGGATAAGGAGGGGAGGGGAGGAGACGCGCGTTTTTCTGGCAGCGGCCTCGTCCGCTTCATGCGAGCACCTCGGGCGCCCAGTCGCGCAGTCTATTGCGCGTGGCTGCCCGCAGGTCCCACCCCTGAATGTCGCGACGTAGCGCCGCGACCTCGCCACGATGCCAAGCTAGCCGAGCAGGGCAACGGCGATGCCAGTCGTTCTGCTGACTACGATATATCATCCACGCCCTCAAAGCGAAAATGGTCGCATCCAGTCCTCCATGCTCAGCGAGTTGCTGCGTCTTGGATTTCAGCTTTCGCCCCATTTGGTCATCCTCCGCCCACGTCGGGCAGATGTACATCTTGGCATCGACGCCGTAGTGGCTCAAGTAGAAGTAGCCGTTGTTCCACAACACATGTGTCCCCGGCAGCGCGCCAGCTGGACCGGCGGCCACGGGCTCTGCGGGCGCGTCGCCCGCGTCATCCACGTCGCCCTCAGTCTCCGCCTCGCCCTCCTCTCCACCCCCATGAGAGACGGCGTCGCTGTCCACGTCGGCCGCCGACTCCATGTCATCCACCAAGCTGGCTTCATCCTCGGTTTCGGCGTCGACATCAGACGCCTCAGCGGCACCCTCGTCGTCGTCCGAACTGCTCTCTTCGCACGGGGTATCGTCCGCCCCGGAGCGCTTCGGCGGCGGCGGTACCACCTCGATCAAGCTATGGTCCACTGCCTGCAGGTATACTCGGCCCTTGTCGACGCGGTCGACGGATACCGTCAACGCGTGCACCTCTGGCTCAGCCGCATCCTGCCAGTGCCCGCCTGCGCCGAGAACGATGGCTCCCATGGGCTTGCACGCCCTGTCCAAGCGATTGCAGTCCAGCATCAGCGCGCCCTCTGGGCCGCCAGGAACCTGGAGCAGCTCAACGGCCCAGCTGTTATTCCCCACCTCGTCGCACAAGACAGCGACGTTCGGCCCGCCAGGAAATCTCAAGAGGAAGACGTGCCCGCTCTTGCTCGGTCGACACTTACGGGACCAGTTCGGGCGCGCAGGCAGGGGCGCGCTAAGGCGCTCGAGCTCACTGTGGAAGTCTGACGCCACGAGCCTCCTGTTGAAAGCGTCTCTTCTCTTCGCCGAAGCGGAACGCAGAGCCTCGGCGAAGACCGCCTCGTTGGCGGCCATCCAGTCGAGCCAGTTCTTGTTCGTGACTGGCAGCAGCGCTGGCCCGGAAATGGCGGCGGCCTTGGCGCGGGCGCGCAGAGCGGCCGCCTTTGCCGCCAAGCGCTCTCGATTATCAGCTAAATACCGCTCGAGCGCGGCGCGGTCGCCAGCGAAAGTCAACTGCTTCTGGACGCTCGTGGGCACGTCACCCTCCCAATGCAATTTGCCCCTGCCGCGCGGCATCAAATGCGGCATCTCCTGGACAGCGCAAGCCATTGGCCCCATTTTCAAATATTTTTCAACGCGCTTGTTCTGGGCGGCCTCGCTGAGGTGGCGCAGCCTCCAAGTCCGGAACTCACGGAGTATCCCATTGCGGGAACCCCTGGCCAAGGTGGTAGTCCTATGATTCTTGGCGCTGCGCCTGTCCCGGTGGTTCTTGCGCTCCGCGTCGAGCGAGTCGTGCCCCATGCGGTTCACGATGTCCACGAGCTCCTCCTGCACGGAGTCCCCCAGCAAGAAATCCAACTGCTCTGGGAGGGTGGGGTACTGCAACGCCTCTAACTGGAGCAGCACGCCGTACCCGCCGTCCAATTTGCTCGCTGGAGTGCGTAAGAAGACTCCGCATGCATTAACGCATTCGTCAGGATTGTATTTCAGCGTCATCTCCCACAGATAATTAAACACGTTGTAATCCCCGAAACGCAGGCAGACGTGCACGGTCGTGCTGAGCAAAGAAAGGACAGTGTCAGTGAGGTCGAGGCTCGCGTCGTGGTGCAGGTTCGCTAATACATCACAAAGCTCGGTCGTCACCTGGGCCTGCACGCGACCGCGGCCTATCTGAACCAGGACGGGATCATCGCCTGGCTTCGGCTTCTTCGAGCACGTGACGTTGGCAACTTTCGTGAGTCGTAAGTTCAGGCACGCTCTCTTCAAATCCAAGCGGTCGGCCTCGTTGTCGTAATACTCGCGGAACCCGGTGATCCGCTTCTGGCCCTTCCCCCGCAAGTTCGCCATGTGCAGTGAGAAGACAGAGGACGGAATCTGCAACAGTTGAGCTCGCAGAATGGCAAAGGCGCAATCTGTGAACAAGAAAAATCGCGTGATCACGGGGTGGTTCTCCACCCGAATTATCGATCTATACAACTCAGAATACAGCAGGCCGCGCATCTCGCGCAACTCCGCCCCCGGCGGGCACGCCATTTCCAAACGGCGGAAATCCACGTTCAGCAACTTGGCGATCTCCGGCGTGATGACGTCGTCGCCGTACAAACGCCGCAGCCCATAGTCTGGCCGCTGGTCATCAGGCAGTGCGGCGCGCTCGAAAATCTCGAAGCCCCTAATGATGTGGTCCCGCAATTGCATGCCGAAGTGGTCGGCGTAAGGCGGCGTGAGATACTTGAACAGCCGAACTGCGTTGCAGCACAGACGATGCGAGCGTACGGGGTTCCGAAGTCTCTGGCGGCATATTGCAAACTGAACGGCCAAGTTCACCTTGTGAGACGCACACCGGTATAAAATCAACCTGTACGTGATGCGATTGGCCAGCTCGAAATCCTGCATAAAGAAAAGAGCCACGATCCGCATCGCTGCCTCGTTGGCGAAAGCAGCGTCCGCGGTGCACAGGTGCACGAAGCGAACCTGCCGCCCGCCGAGGAGCACCGCCGAATCTCGGAGGAGCGCCGACACAGCGGCAGACACGACCCGTATCACACTGGTCGCAATGCTCGCAGCCGATTTGTTCTCCAAAGCATGAAGGTCCGTAAACCACGGATACGCTTCGCCCGCAAACGAAATCTTCAAGCAGTGGTTCTGCACGGAAGAGCTCCGGCTTCGTGACATGCGCAAAGAGGTGCGCGGGAGCGCCATGTGCACATCCCCCAGCTGCGCTGCAGACTGAGAACGCAGACGCAAATCTGCACCATCGTGCACATGGACCAAGTACACAGTTGGGAGCGCATGGCCCACAGGGCGAGCCTCGGCGATCGCACCAGCCATCCGCTTGGCCAAAGCGTCGCCCAGCATGTCCTTTAATGTCTCGGCCCCAGCGTCGCGGACCCTCCCGACCTGCGAAGCGCTGATCGATGAATTTTCTTCCACAGTGAACTGCCGACAAACGTCAGCCAACACCTCGGCTGAAATGTAAGTATCGGCCAGCGTCGTGCGCACGTGCCAAACGTTGGCCACCCTATTCGCCAGTCCCCGCGCTGGATTCTCATTGGTGGCCTTCTCTTTGGCCTCGCGCTTCTCCTTGCGCAGATCTCTGACTTTGCGTTTCAATCGCTCTGGCTGCGCCCGCTCTGAAACACCGCGGCGGCGGGGTTTCGGAAGGCGCCGCCCCGCTGCCTCTATATCGAAAGCTCCATCCAAAGCACTCTGCAATTCTGTGCATGCCTGGGCGACCTCAGGGAAACCTCGGCTGCGTTCAAGCTCCACGAGGAAGGCCGCCGTCTGAGCGCGCAAGTGCTTCGCTTGCAATGCCAAGCTCATGGACGCGACCTGGGACTTGAACCTCGGCGCAGATCTCGAGCCAAAAAGGCGTACGGAAGGCGCGGATCGCACAAGACATCGGCACGGCGCTGGCACCCGTAGGGGGGCGTAGGGGGAGCGCTCAGAGATCACGGACGGGGCGCGCGAGGAGCACGCGGGGGAGCGCCGCAGACCGCATAACTTATGGGCCTGGATTCTGCGGAAGTCAGCCCCACTTTGAAAAAGGATGTGTCCTCCATATGTGCACCCGTTGCGCATGTTCTAACGTTCGGTTTTGAGTTATGAAGCAATCTCAAGCGAGAGCCCATGTTTGAAAAAACGGAGCCGCCCTCCATCCTTGTAACTGCTGCAAGCTATTAAGACGAATGTGCGCTGCGCTGAGAGCTGGGGGGCGTAGGGGGCCGTAGGGGGCCGTAGGGGGGCGTAAGGGGAACACAGGGGGGCATATGGGGGGGCGCATGGGGGTCGCAACAGAGGCTCAGGGGGAGGGGAGCGCAGAAGACCGCAGGAGGGCGTAGGGGGGCGTAGGGGAACGCAGCGGGAACTCAGCGGGAGCTCGAAGCGAGTTGCGACCCGCGGGGGGGGGGGCGCAGGAACGCGGGCAGGCGTATGGAAAATGGAAGCCCAGGGATTGCTGGGAGGGCTTAGGGCTTCAGAGATGGAGGGGGGCTTCAGTGATGGGCCAACTCCGTCAGAAGACATATGGGCAGGGAGCGGGGAAGGCGGGATAAGGAGTGGATGGGAGGGAGGGCGCGGGGGAGGGAGGAGGGGGAAAGACTTTTCAGCACACTAACCAACGCTATCGCACACTAACCGAAGAAAAAGACAAGTTAGGGCGCCGAAGCAAGTCTCCATGCTTGCGAACCTAAGTACATCTGTGGAAAGTTTGGAGGACAGGAGCTCGAGCTTGGCAGCGAACTCGCAAGCCGCTCGGTCAGCATCTAGTGCACCCGTGGAGAAGTCCGTGGCGGCGCAGTGGAGGTTCACGTCGTCGGAGTCGGGGCAAAGGTCGTCGGCGGTCCCTTGGGACATGGGGCGCCGGTTTTCGGGTGGAGGTACGGTGTCGTGCGTGATGTTGGGTGTCGTACTGGCGCTTGGATCTTCCATGGGCCTCCCGTCTTCTGCGACAATGCTTTCTGGAACGGGGACTTCGGGTGCGTCGAACGTGGCTGGCCCAGGGATGAGATGCGGCGTGTGTGTGGTGGCTTGAATGCTAGTGGCTTGTTGGAGAACTTCAGCGCAGCTGTGCCCCGCTTCTTGGAGTCGTCGTGCGGCTTCGTCTTCGTCGATGTCGAGGGCGTGGTAAGCTTCCGAGTGAGCCACGCAGAAACGCACTGCCGTCATGTAGGCTTCCCGGGGGACCTCAGCCCACGTAGCCTTGTCCAAGTCGTCCACGGATGCACCCGCAAGCGCGATGGAGAGGCCGTCTGCGGAGAACTGCTGAGAAACCTCGGGCTCGGCAGGGAGGGCTTGGGTCACCAGCTCCCTGGCGTGCGCCTGCGGGAAGCAAATTGAATTGCCACGCAATCCCTTCTGTTTCGTGCGGGGATCCGCCTTCTTTGTTTTCTCAGCGATTATTTCCCGCACGAGCATGCGGGCGAGGGCGAGCATGGCGAACGTCATGGGAGATAGCTTCGCACCGTGTTTCCGGAACGCTACAGGTTCTCGCAGGATGAGGTTGTCGTTAGCGAGCGCGCACCGAGGGAGGAGGGGCGTGTTCTTGGAGAGGTCGAGTCTGCAGCTCAGGCACGTGGGTATGGAAGGAAAGCTGCCGTCGGAGTATGGTCGCAGCGTGTTGTCCGGCTGTAGACCAGGGCCACCGTCCGTGGAGACAGGGATAGTTGTGCTGTCCAGTATCCATCGCCAGGCAGTGCCGTCGGAATCGGTGGCCCAAGGGTGCACGACGCTTGTGCCGTAAACCTCAGCTCGGGGTAGGGAGTGGTGGCCTCCCGATGATTCGGGGGCCCGCCATCTGTCCATGTAGGCATCCGCTGAGAGGAGGTCGTGGATTCGGCGTGCACGAGATTGCACCTGGGCGGATTCGCGTTGCACCTGACCGTCGTCGCCGTCGTGGTCCTCGTCGAGGTTTGGGCGAGGGGCGCATGGAAAGTCCTGGGCGGGCCGCTTGTCGAACAACTGAAAATCTTCGAGGTCTTCCTTCCAGAATGTGAGGGCGCACACAGCGCAGCTGAGTACACCTCGCTCTTGGCCGTTGTGCAAGGGATGGTCGTGGTTGATTTTGTGCGTCCCAGGGTAGCTGTGCGTTTGATGTCGTGCGTGTGCGCTCACGACACGTCGGACCTCGTCCTGCTACAGGAAACGGGCCATCACGTTCTTCGTAGTAGAAGACTCTCTTGCGGTACTCTTCCTCGAGGCGCAAGGCGTCCAGGCCGTCGACGCTGCAGTGGACCTCGGGTAGGTGCTCATTGAGACCGCTGCCCCTCCTGGGGGGATCGCTGGGGGCGACCGAGTTGACGCGGAAGGGTAGAAGTAGGAAGTCGCGTTTGTGGGGGGAGGCGGAGGGGCAGGCGCGGGGTCGCGGAGCGAATGGGTAATGGAAGAGGCCATTGCTTTGAGAAATCGGGGCGGTGGGTAGCGAGAGACATGTGAGCAGCGTCTGGGCACGTCTGACTCGCGCGGAGTCGTCGCGCGTGCATTGCGCGGGTTGGTGCGGGGGGAGGGGGGAGGGGTGGGGGGGGCGCAAAAGGCGGAAAGTGCCAGAGGCGTTTTAGAATAAGGAGTCCTTCGGGTCGCAGCCATGGCCACAAAGGTAGCATGCGACGGGGGCGCCACAGAGAGGTATGCGAGGGAACGAATGTCGAGTGCCCTGGTCACGAAGAAGGCCGGCAGGAATGTAGGAATCGCTGACGGCCGTTTCAGTCCAGATGTCGCGCCCGAGGTGTCGTTCCCATTGCTGGACTTCCTCTTCGGAGAGCTGGGCTCGGAAGAGAACTTTGCGGTTGAGAACCGAGTGGAACCGATGTTGGTCTCCGAACCGGGCCTGGCGGGTGACTGCGAGTTGACGCGCCAACTCTGCTTCATTATACGCCTGATGCTGCCCTCGGTGTGTTCGAGCAGTGGGGAGTCTCTGGTGTGCATCTTTGAACGCGACGATGTCGTCGAGCAGCGTGTCTTCTTCCCACTCGAAGGTTTCGGAACTCTCAGGCAGGGCACTGAGGAGGTCCACGGTGGTTTGCCACGCAGCACGCTCTTCTGCGGACAATGGTGTTCGCGGGGTCCAGGAAGCCCCCGTCCGAGGGATCTTCGCGCGGGCAGCGAGGGCGTGGAGCAGAGACTTCCGTAGTAGACGCTCTTGTCGAGGGTGTGGTTGGGGGGGGCGACGGCGACGGTTGGCGAAATCGCCCAATGCGATGGCCAAGTCTGTCTGGGAGAGTCTTGCGAATGCAACTTCGCAAATGAGGTCGGACCGTGGAGAGTCTCGGCCAGACGCGGGCGACAGGCGAAGGGCGCTCTTAGCAGCCTCTTGGTGCACTGTGTCGTAGTTGCAGGTGCATAGGGCGTGCAAGTCGTCTGCGGTAATCGGCAGGGTCACGTAGAGCTCAGTGTCGGCGACGATCTGTTTCGCGCGTTGCCGACGACGTTTGTGCAGGTCCGTGGAGTCTATGTCGTAAGCAGAGCACCACGTTTCCAGCGTTGGCTCGAGCGTCGCGTCGCTGGATGGTGAGTGCACGCCGCAGGTGTCAAGGGAGAGTTGCAGAATGGGAGGCCACTCGTCTGGATGTTGCTTCGCCCACTGGACGACTGCGGCGGTGCGCAGAGGCAGGTCCCATGTCGGAATGCGCAGGGGCATGTTGACGTGGTGGATGGTTTTTTCGGTGTACTCCGGCAGGAGAGCGGCAGAGAGTTGGTCGTGGCCGACAGGGATGCACAGCGCGACGCACCACGCTGTGACAGTGATGGGGGCGGCAGTGCGTGTGGTGCGGAGATTCCATGTAGGGAGCCACTCGCGCAGGCGGTGTTCCCACTCCTGGGGGTTCTGGCGAGCCCACTGCTTGATGAATGTTGCGTCGAGGTCGTCTGGCCAGTGAGGCTCCGCTCGCAGAGTGCAAGTAGCGTGAAGGATGCGGTCGATGTACTGCGGCCGGAGGTCGTTGCGGAAACCTTTGAATGGAATGAGCAGAGCTGCGCACCACTCCTCGATGGTGATGTCGTCGGAGCCTCTCTGCTTTTTTGCCGGCTTCCAGACGGAGAGTCCGCGTCGAAGGTGTTCTTGCCGGTTGGGGGGCGCGTTGTGGGCCCATTCTTGGATGAAGGCGCGGGTAAGCACAAGTGGCCATTCAGGCCAGGTGGCGCCTGGGTCGCATGGCAATACGGTGGGTGGTGAAGCTGTGGCGCAGAGGTTCGCGGTGGCAATGAGGATGTGGCTAGTAAGGCGTGGTCGGTGGGTGTCGTCGTAACTGTCAAGTGGGATTTGTAGAGCGACGCACCAGTCCTCGACTGAGGTGTCGCTGGGACCTCGCTGACGTGACGCCATGGGGCACCTGGACAGAGTCTGTCGCAACGTGGGTTCCCAATCTGCGGCGTGTTCCTGGACCCATTGGCGGATGAACGTTGGAGTTAGATCGCTAGGCCATGGTTGCACAAGTAACCGCACTGCTGAGAGAATTCGGTTGATGTGTTGTGCACGTAAATCATTGCGGAACCCTTTGAAAGGAACGCCCAGGGCGGTGCACCAATCTTCGATAGTAATGTCGAAAATGCCGTGCCGCTGCTTTTTGGCAGGGCTCCATGCTTGCAGGGCCGATTTTAAAACCGATTCCCAGGACTCGCCTTGATCCGCAATCCACGTAGTAATGAACTCGGCTGTGAGTATGCGAGGCCACTTCGTCCGCTTGATGTGGTCTGCTGTCGAACTATCTGAACGTGCCCGCGCTGCATCCAAGATCTGTTGCACGCATTGGGGCCGTAAAGCCTGGCGGTGCCCCTTGAAGGACACCCCCAGGGCGATGCACCAGTCCTCGATAGTAATGTCGAAGCTGCCGTACCGCTGCTTTCTTGCAGGGGTCCATGCTTGCAGGCCGGATTCTAGAGTCGTCTCCCAGGACTCGCCTTGATCTGCAATCCACGTAGAGCTGAAGTCGGCGGTGAGAATGCGGGGCCACTTCGTCCGCCTGATGTGGTCTGCTGTCGAACTATCTGAAAGTACCCGCGCTGCATCCAAGATCTGTTGCACGTATTGGGGCCGCAAGGCTTGGCGGTACCCTTTGAAGGGCACCCCCAGGGCGATGCACCATTCCTCGATAGCGATGTCGAAGCTGCCGTGCCGCTGCTTTTTGGCAGGGCTCCAGGCTTGCAGGCCGGTTTCTAGAATCGTCTCCCAGGAGTCGCCTTGATCTGCAATCCACGTAGAGATGAAGTCGGCGGTGAGTATGCGAGGCCACTTCGTCCGCCTGGTGTCGTCTGCTGTCGAGTTGCGTGGAAGTGCCCGCGCTGCGTCCAAGATCTGTTGCACGTATTGGGGCCGCAAGGCTTGGCGGTACCCTTTGAAGGACACCCCTAGGGCGACGCACCAGTCCTCGATAGTAATGTCGAAGCTGCCGTGCCGCTGCTTTTTGGCAGGGCTCCAGGCTTGCAGGCCGGATTCTAGAGTCGTTTCCCAGGACTCGCCCTGATCCGCAATCCACGTAGAGATGAAGTCGGCGGTGAGTATGCGAGGCCACTTCGTCCGCCTGGTGTCGTGTGGTGTCGAGCTGCGTGGAAGTGCCCGCGCTGCGTCCAAGATCTGTTGCACGTATTGGGGGCGTAGGTCCTGCCGGTACCCTTTGAAGGACACCCCCAGGGCGATGCCCCAGTCCTCGAGAGTGATCGTTGTGAGACCCTGGCGATGTTCTTTCCGGGGCTGCCATACTTGAAGGCCTGAAGTGAGCGTCGATTCCCAATTGTCCCCGTGCGCCGCGATCCAGCCGGCAATGAAGTCTCTGTTCAGGGTGCGCGGCCACTTTGTCGGCGGGCTCGTAGTGATGCACTGAGCTTTGGTGGCACGCAAAATCTGCGTGATGTAGGTTTCCCGGAGAGTCTCGTTGAAGCCTGTGAAAGGGATGCTGAAGGCCGCGCACCAATCCTCAATAGTAATCTCACTGTTGCCCTGTCTGGTTTTCTTATGGGCTTTCCAAGTGTGCAGGCTGTCAGAAACGGTGCCTTCCCAGGCAGAGCCTAGTTGGGCAACCCATGTGGAAATGAAGGATGGCGTCAACGTGTCTGGCCATCTCGTCGGCGTAGCCATGTGTCGCGGGGAGATCGGGAAGTAGGAGCCCCACGGAGTCGGAGGGAGCGTAGAACATGGCGCAGCAGGCCTGGGCGGGCGGGCGCGACGTCTGACCGAAACGGCAACGGATGCGAGTGGGAGAGGCTGGGCTGAGCTCAGCACGTTGCCATGCGAGCGAGGGATGGCACTGAGGATGAGAACAGGCGAGCGACTTGAGAACATGAAGCCGTGTGCGGTGAGCTCAGCACGCCACCATGCGAGCCACCGATTTTGATAGGGCCGTGCGCGTGTAGGTGAGACACCAACAGGGCAGCTGACGTTGGTTCCCGTGTTGTCTGTTTGAAGTGGTGACGCTTTGTCGGGGTGTCTCCAGCCATCTTGGAACCCTTCGGGATAGTATTGGAGCCCTCTGGAGAGCCACTTGTCAAGTAGGAGCCCTTCCGAGGCGAGCTCAGCACGTGATCATGCGAGCCAGTGGGGGAGGACAGGCGGTCGTCGCTTGCGAGAAAGAGAACAGCGGAAGATATGATGGCGTGGGGCGACGAATGCGAGGCGGGAAGGCTGGGGTGAGCTCAGCATGCTGCCACGCGTGCGACGGTGGGCAGCGAGGAGGAGAACAGGCGAGCAACTGGAGAAGATGAAGTTGTGTGCGGTGAGCTCAGCACGCTACCATGCGAGCCACCGGCTTTCATAGGGCCGTGCGCGTGCAGGTGAGATGCCCAGAAGGCACCTGACGTTGGTTCCCGTGTTGTCCGTTTCACGCGCTGACGCTTTGTCGGGTTGTCTCCTGCCATCTTGGAGCCTTGTTGTGAGGAGAAACTCGTGGGCGGACGGACGACGTAAACAGGCGAGGCACGGAGTGAGCTCAGCACGGCACCATGCGAGCCACTCGTCAAATGAGAGCCCTTGCGAAGTGAGCTCAGCACGTGACCATGCGAGCCACTGGGAGAGAACAGGTGGCAGTCACTGGCGAGGCAGAGAAGAGCTGAGGAGATGATGGCGCTGAACGACGGATGCGAGGGGGAGAGGCTGGGGTGAGCTCAACACGTTGCCATGCGAGCGACGGAAGGCACTGAGGATGAGAACGTGCGAGCGATTTGAGAAAATGAAGTTGTGTGCGGTGATGTCAGCACGCCACCATGCGAGTCACCGGCTTTGATAGGGCCGTGCGCGCGCAAGTGAGACCCCCGGAGGGCACCTGACGTTGGTTCCCGTGTTGTCCGTTTCACGCGCTGACGTTTTGTCGGGGTGTCCTCAGCCATCTCGGAGCCCTGTTAAGAAGAGGAATTCGTAGGCGGACGGAGCTCGGAAACATGCGAGGCACGGAGAGAGCCGAGCACGGCACCATGCGAGCTCCTCGTCAAATGAGAGCCCTTGCGGAGTGAGCTCAGCACGTGACCATGCGAGCCACTGGGGGAGGACAGGCGGCCGCCACTGGGGAGCCAGAAAACAGCTGAGGAGATGATGGCGTTGGGCGAGGGAAACGAGTGGGAGAGGCTGGGGTGAGCTCAGCACGTTGCCATGCGAGCGACGGAGGGCACTGAGGATGAGAACAGGCGAGCGACTTGAGAACATGAAGCCGTGTGCGGTGAGCTCAGCACGCCAACATGCGAGCCACCGGTTTTGATAGGGCCGTGCGCGTGTAGGTGAGACCCCAAGAGGGCAGCTGACGTTGGTTCCCGTGTTGTCCGTTTGAAGTGGTGACGCGTTGTCGGGGTGTCTCCTGCCATCTTGGATCCCTTCGGGATGCTTCTGGAGCCCTCTGGAGAGTTTCTTGTAGCTTCTTGTGGTGCGTGTCCGAGGTCTCCTGGGGCGGTTTGATGGCGTACAGGGCCGTGAGGGTCGTGCTTGGGAAGGTGTTGAGAGGACGAACTCGTGGGCGGACGGAGGACGTGAACATGCGAGACACGAAATGAACTCAGCACGTCGCCATGCGAGCCACTCGTGAAATGAGAGCCCTTCCGAGGTGAGCTCAGCACGTGACCATGCGAGTCACTGGGGGAGGACAGGTGGCCGTCACTTGCGAGCCAGACAACAGCTGAGGGGAGAATGGCGTTGGGCAGAGCCCTTCCGAGGTGAGCTCAGCACGTGACCATGCGAGTCACTGGGGGAGGACAGGTGGCCGTCACTTGCGAGCCAGACAACAGCTGAGGGGAGAATGGCCTTGGGCGACGGATGCGAGGGGGAGAGGCTAGGGTCAGCTCAGCACGTTGCCATGTGCTCGACGGAGGGCACTGAGGATGAGAACATGCCCCTGGGGCTTCCTGGGGCCCTCTTGGGGGCTCCTTGGGCCCTCTTGGGGGCCTCTTGGGGCTTCCTGGGGGTCTCTTTGGGCGGAGAGCTCGAAATATCGGTCCCTGCTACCCCTCTGGGGTCTCTCTTGGGGCGTTCCTGGGGCCCTCTGAGGCCGTCTTGGAGACTTCTTGGGCCGTCTTGGAGGCGTCTTGGGCCGTCTGTGCGCCCTCTTGGGAGCCTCTCAGGCTGTCTTAGGGCAGTCTTTGGGGCCTCTTGGGCCGTCTTGGAGCGTCGGGAAGCCGAAAAGGCGAAGACGCGAAAAACACTGAAAAACCAATAGGAAATGAATGAATTTGGACTCTTGGGCTGATTTTGGGGGGCCTCTTGGAGGCCTCCCAGGGCGTCTTGGGGGCTTCGTGGGCCATCTTGAGGCCATTTTGGGCATCTTGCACCGATCTTTCGGCGACTCGTGGCCCTCTCGGACCATCTTGCGGACCATCTTGGGGCCGCCCGCGCCGCACGGAAGCGCGTCTGCCGAAGTGGGGCCGTCTTCCGCCGTCTTCCGCCGTCTTCCGCCGTCTTCCGCCGGCTTCCGCCGGCGTTCCCCCCGTGGCCGAGGGGGGGTCCCGGGGGGTACCCCCCCCAGACCCCCCCAGGGGGACACTAAACGGGAACCCCTCCTCAAGGTCGGGGAAACATTTCGTGCAGGCCAAGGAAGGTTCCTGGAACATTCTTGTGTGGGCCTACAGGCAAGCCAGGGCGCTTCGCCACTACTCGAACGCCGCGCCCTGCCCGCTTTCTGCGCGCCGGCCAGGCCTCCGAGGCCCCGTCCCCCCGGATCAGCAGGCCGAAGAGGCGCAGCCCGCGCTCTCGTCGGAGCGTCGCCAGCAGCTCCAGGACCCGCTCCTCAAGGCGGGGGGCAGCAGCAGCAGCAGCACCAGCATGAACTCGCTATGTTTGTAAATCTCGAGATTGGATCCCGAGCAAGAGTCGCGAGACAGAAGAGTGATACGAACTTATCCGAGGACAACTCGAAGTGCGAGACCGCGCTCAGGTCTCTCGTGGATGCAGATCACGGCTTCCGAGACTTCCAAATCGTCCGGTGCAGTTCATAGCTCTGCAGCCTGTCTAGAGCCTGGTGGGTGACCTGGATGGGGTGTGCAGACAAGGGCCCGAAAGGGTCTCTTGAGGGCCCCTTTTGGAGCCAGCAGGGGCCCATAGGGAGCCCCAGGCCCCCCCCACTCAGCACACCCGCCCGGGTCATCTGGTGGGGGTCGTGGGGGGGGGGTGCTGGCCGATAGCCCGACCTCTTCGCGCTGCGCAGCACCACGTCTGCCCGCGCACACCAAGACTGCGCACCCCTCGCACGGCCTGCGGAGTGGACAAGGCCAAATCATCCGCGGTGGGGACATTATAGAGGCCTCCCAGATGGGGTCGGAGCATATGGGGTCGGAGGATCGCGCCGCATCGCCGATGCATCGCGATGCATCGGCGATGCATCGGCGATGCACCCGCGATGCCTCGTCCACGTCGGTGATGCATTGGCGACGTCGACGTGAAGCAACTCGGGCCCTACATCGAGCCGCATCGGCGATGCATCGGCGGTGCGGCGCGATCCTCCGACCCCGCCTGCTCCGACCCCACGCTGGGAGGCCCAGAAGCACGGGCGGCGGGCGGGTCCGACCACCCGGGCCAGCGCCAGACCCCAACAAAACCAGCCTCCATCCACGACGCGCCGCCTCGCTGGGAGCCCAGCGATTCTGCTGCCTGCGGACCCAGGTCATCCGATTGCGTCTGCAAGTGTTGTTTATCGGGTGGAAGTTTTGTTTCTTAGCCGGAAGTGTTGGAAGTAGCCGGATTGGTAGCGAAAGCGGGCTGTTTGGTGCCACAGATGCCCGGCAAGTGCAAAACCACCTCCTAGCTTCGAAGCAGCGCCAGGGCTGCGGGCGCGCAGGAGAGCACCCCGCCGACGGGCTCCCAGCGGCCGCGCGCCACGCTGCGGCTCCCGCTCCCTCCACGAGCTCCGGCGGCGAGCGAGGACCGACGCCGGCCTTCCACCCCCTGGCGTGCGAGGCCGCCAAGGGGCCAGGCGCCGGTGCAAGAGACCCGCGCTGACCTCCGACAATCGACGTGCATCCCACACCTCCCCTGCCCCCCTCTCCCCCCAATCCCTTCGCCCTCCCCTGACTCCGAGCAATCTTTCGGCGGCGAGCGTGGGGGGGGAAGAGTGAGAAGGAGAAGGCCTCTGTCAGAAGGCGGCGGGACTTCTCCGGAGGCCCTCACGCCTTGAGAAGTTGTTGCTGGTGTCTTCGGGGAAGGCTTAGAAAACTTCTCGGCAGGCCGGGGGACTTCCGAGCGAGGCCGAACAACAACGCACCGACTTGCTCCTCCTCCTCCTCCTCCTCGTCCTCCTCGTCCTCCTCCTCCTCCTCCTCCTGACAAGGCCCTCTCCCTCTCGCTTCCCCCCTGGGCGCGCCGCCGACGCCGCGCTCCGGCGGCTGGGGGACCTCGCCGTCGGTGACCAGCAGGAGGTCCGCGTCGCGGAAGCGCGCCCCGCCCGCGAGCTCCAGGCCGCGCGCCAGCGGCGCCGCGAGGTCCGTGCCGCCGCCGAAGGAGCCGGCCAGGAACCGCAGGACGGGGTCGGCGGCGTCGGCTCTCACGGGGCCCGGTGGCACGGACATCTCCTGGGAGGGCGGCGTGGTTCTGCTGCGGGCGATGCGAGCTCCCCCTCCTCCTCCTGCTCCTCCTGCTCCTCCTCCTCCTCCTCCTCCTCCTCCTCCTCCTCCTCCTCCTCCTCCTCCTCCTCCTCCTCCTCCTCCTCCTCCTCCTCCTCCTCCTCCTCCTCCTCCGCTTCCTCCTCCTCCTCCTCTTCCTCCTTCGCCTCTTCCTCCTCCTCCTCCTTCGCCTCTTCCTCCTCCTCCTTCGCCTCTTCCTTCTCCTCGTCCTCGTCCTGCTGCGGATGTGGCTTGTAAAGTCTGCCGCGCCTGACTGTGAATTCGCGGCATGTCTCATAAGTGATGATGTATGGCCGTTGCATGTGTTCTGTAGACTTTGTGTGCTCTCGTGATAACACATGTGCTAGGCGTGTACGTTCGCAAATGTGGCCCATGCGTGTCATTAATACTTGTCCTGCAAGCCGGTTCTTCACAACTGGCCTTGGAGTATGCGCGTAGTGTACTATCTTGTCGTGAGTTATTGGTGTGTGGTCTTGATATATGTTCTTCGCGTCTGCTCTAAATTACTGTTCTACATGGCTTTGAATGGCGTGACGTCGTGACGCTAGGATGGCGTGCCGCCTCCCTGGTGGGACTCGGCGAGGCGGGATACTCAGGGACACTCGCAGAATTGGTATGCCTTGCGGCCGCGGTATGCAGAGCTGGCGAGGCGAGAAACTCGGGGATCACTCGGGATTTGATGGGCCTGGCGGCCGCGGTATGCACCGCTGGCGATGCAGGACACTCAGGAATCACACGGGGTTAGGACGTGGCGGCGGCGGGATGCAGAGCCCGCGAAGCGGGATACCTTGGGGATCACTCAGGTTTCTTTGGGCCTGGCGGCAACCGTATGCAGGGCTGGTGATGCAGGATGCTCACGGATCACCCAGGATTCGCTGGACCTAGCAGCCCCAACCTGTCGGGTGGGAAGAAAGTGAACTTGTTCGTCGGGAAGATCCCCACGTGCATCATCCTTCTATCGCGGACCTGTCTGAGTGCGCGTGTGTGTGTGTGTGTGTGTGTGTGTGCGTGTGTATGTGTTAGGGAGTCCGAGTATGAGCGAGTCTAAATATGAGCACCTGCGTACGACACAAGCGCCTCCCCAAAAATAGGCGCTATACCTAAGAAATCCCTCCAATCTGCGCGCGAACGGACCCGTGCAACACCCCAGGTCAGCCGCGCCTTCGCAGCCCAGGTACCGTGCCTGCTACATCTCGACAATCATGGAGCTCCAGAAAGAGACACGTGTCTTCCCGATAGAAGGCGTTCGACCTGAGAGGTTTCACGAATTGGCGCGCAAACGGGCCCATGAAACACGCCAGGTCGACCACCACTTTCGGAGGCCAGACTGCCATGCCTTCCACATCGCGATGGTCATGTGGCTCGTGTGGGGCATACAGTACGAGTGACTGAGTGGGAGTGCGTGACAGTACGTCTGCGTCGGGGTGGCTAGGTATGAATGAGCTTGACAGTGAGTAGAGTGAGCCTCAGTGCTGAGTGTGACTAAGTCTAGGTATGGGTGGATCTGCGTGAATGAGTCTGGATGAAATTGAGTTCGAGCGTGAGTGGGCCTTAGTGTGAGCGAGTCTGAGTACAAAAGGCCTGTGAATGTGAAACTGAAATTGCATGAGTCGGAGTGTCAGTGTGGGTGGGAATGACTAATGATGAGTTTGAGCGAGTGGTGAGTCTGAATGTGAGTGAATGCATCTAGGTATGAGAGTCTGAGTGGGTAATGGGAGAGGGCGGAGGGAGGAGGCGGGACGCAGGAAGGAGGCGGAGGCATCACACTGATAGCCAGAACAACAACAATATGGAATCAACGTTCGAATGTCCGCGCAAAATTCTCCGGACGGCGCTGGACCTCCCTCCTTACCCCGGGCACACGCGGCGCGAAGGGGGCGGCGCCGGAGGCGACCCGAGCAATCCGCGCAGACCTCCGCATGCTCGAACTTATGTCAGGCGCCCGATGCGTTCTCCGCACCCCAGCTGAAGGGGCCAGAGTGGGGAGGAGAAGGAGGAGGAATAAGCGGAGGCGGAGGAGGCGGGGCAAGAGGGGAGGCGGATGAGGATGAGGACGAAGACGGGGATGAGGATGAGGAGAAGGAAGAGGGGGAGGAGGAGGAGGAGGAGGAGGAGGAGGAGGAGGAGGAGGAGAAGGGGCATGGACGAGGGCATGGCCTCTGGTGCCATGTTCTTAAGTCCGTGATCTGACCCCTTGGCGTCCAGTCGGAGGCAGCAGCAAGACCACGGGTCTCGCGCCGATCGCCGATACAACCGCTCAAACAAGGAAGGCCAAACAAGAAATTGATATGGGCTTCGTTCTGGCCACGGCAAGCCTGTGGGGGGAACCAACAGGTCCGGGTGCCGCTTTCCTCCCTGGACCTCTCCCTGTGCATTCTGACAAAAATTTCGAAGCGAATCCAGCGATGGCGATGAGGGGCTCCCAGGAGGCCCAGAAAGGCGAAAACGAGGGAAGCGTAGCGGTTTGTTTGCGCCGGGGGTAACCGTCCAGGAGGTCTGACAGGCCTACCACGCTACCACGAAATCTTCTTGGAACGCAAGAATGTTCTAATGTCAAGACCGATGTTGATATACCATGAACCCATTGTGTTGCACGAAATGTCATGACATGCTTTCAAGCCGCAAGAGGTTATACAATCCTATTCTTGGCAAAAGAAGAAAAGCCGCTGCTGAACCCAAACTGGTCCTTGTGTCAGCTTGGTACACCTGCGGTGGGCACGGAAAAACTGGAGTGATGCCTAGCAGCAAATGCTGTACGAAACCGACAGCGGCCGCCGCTGTTGGGCGTCCGCCGTCCTGTCTCGAATGGACAACGTCCGCGGCGACGCCGACAGCGATCCCTGCTCAAAACGGACAGGACCTGCTGCCTGTCTTCGTCACCACTTGCCATCGCTCGGACGTCCATTTCCCGTGTATGTTTCGGCTTCGTGCGTGTATTGTTCACCAGGTGATCCAAAATGCTCCTCGATGGTCCTTGCCGAAAAACAATGCAAACGTCCGAGCGATACCAAGACCTTTGTTTCCAACCTGACAGGTTGGGGTCGATAGATTGTAGAAAAAAACCTCCCGGCACCCCCGCCCAACATACCGCAGCCGCCAGATCCCCAGGCTCCCGATAATCATTGGTGGTCCCGCCCCCCCCGCCCAGCATACCGAGGCCGCCAGATCCCCAGGCTCCCGATAATCCCTGGTGGTCCCGACCCCCGCGACGACTCGCCCACTCTGCATACCGCGGCCGCCAGATCCCAAGGCTCCCGATAATCCCTGGTGGTCCCGCCCCCCGCGACGACTCGCCCACTCTGCATACCGCGGCCGCCAGATCCCCCGGTCCCCCACAGAACAAGGCATAACACCACACCACCGAGCATAATATATCCGAGCACAGCATACCATACCATGACAGACCATGTCATAGCACAGTACACCATGGCAGACCAGTGCATAACATAGCGTGGCATCACACCATAAATCATGCCATCACATGACACATCAAGCATATCATGACACATCAACGCAGTACTTACCATACCAAAACATAGCATACCGTATCATCACATAACATATCATGTCATAGCACAGCACCGCACAGCACCGCATACTATGGCAGCTCGTAGCTTACACATCGTAACATAACAGAGCATCACATCCATGACATGGCAGAGCATCCTATACTATACCAGGACAGAACAAACCGCACAATAGCATAGCATTACAACATAACACATTACACACCATGACACATCATACCATGACATAGCGCGGCATAATATGCTATAGCATAGCCAACCATATCATAGCATAGCATAACACTAGCGTCCATGACATAATCAGCTACACAGAGCATGGCATAGCGCCACACCTCACAACACAACATAACAGAGCATAAGATGACACGCCATGACAGAGAACAATGAGCGCGCGCACCTCTGGGATATCAAACGCCGAAGGGATCGGTGGGGATCGCTCGAAGCAAAATAATGATCGTACTCATCCCCAGACCCCCGACGTCGTGATTTCTTCATGACGCGACCCCCAGAGGTCTGGACCCATTCCCCGGGACCGGTTCCTCATCCTGACTCGTTTTCTGACGGCCCCGAGGCCCGGTGAGGCCCCCCAGAGGCCGAAAATATATAGCGAAACACCTTCCGTCGTCCTTTTCTCCATGGCTCGAGGGGGTCTGGGTCCGAGCAGCGTCTTCGCCGCGCGCCGCTCTGGGCTACGACGCGGCGCTCCTGCAGCTCCCCTGCGCCGGAGAACGCGCAGACCCACGCGGGCCTCCGCTGCGCCTGCGCCTGCCGCAGGACCTCTGCGCGGGGGGAGGGCCGGCTGAGAGACCCCGGCGGCTGTCTCCTGCCGGGCCGGGGAGCCGCTCCAGCTCGGTCCCTGTTCGGATCAGGGCGGGCGGTGCGAAGTGACGGATTCCAGAAGCCCAGACCCCCTCGCGTGGAGAAGAAATCGCGACGGGGGATTTTTCGCTATACTTTCGGCCTCTGGGGGCCCTCACCTGGCCTCGGGGCGGTCAAAAAACGACCCAGGATGAGAAGCCGGGCCCGGGGAATGGGTCTGGACCTCTGGGGGTCGCGCCATGAACAAATCATGACGTCGGAGGTCTGGGACGGGCAGTGCGAAGTGACGGATTCCAGAAACGCTGGACCACAAGAAGGAGGATGAGGATGAGGATGAGGATGAGGATGAGGAGGAGGATGAGGATGAGGAGGAGGAGGATGCCAGAAGCTGCGAGCATGTTGGGCCCAGATCTCGCGAGCCGCGCAATGACGTCGCGCGCCCAAGATTGCACAAGATGGCTCCACAACGGCTCAAGAGGTACCGCAGACAGCCCAGGGTGCTTCCAAGAGGACTTCCATCAGGGGTGAGGGCCCACGACGTGGGTGACGCTGGCAACGACGGCGACTGAGGAAGCGACGACGGCGACCTCAACTTCATTTACGAGGACGCCGACGAAACATCAGCGACGACGGCAGCAATGCCACAGCGCGCCAACTACGGCGATGGCGGCAACGACGGCGACGGAGGCGACGACAGCAGAGGTGGCGACGGCGACGACGGCGACGACAGCAGCGGCGAACGACGATGCCCACGGCGGCGACGTCGGCGCGGCGACGACGACAGTGACGTTGATGGCGATGGCGCCGACAGCTGCAAGTCGCAGCCTGCAACGACGACAGCGATCACGGCGACGATGATGACGACCACGGCGGTGACGACGACGTGCGCCGGCGGCGGCGGCGACGGCGACGATAGTGACGATGGTGAGGTCGTCGGCGACGACGACGGCAAGGGCGATGCTGACTGCAGCGATTTCTGTGGCGGGATGACGGCGACGACGGCGACGACGGCGACGACGACGACGAATTCTGGAAGCGGGTTTTCAATGGCTTCAGGTGGAAAAAAAATGCGACAGCTTTATCTGGGTCAAAGATCGTCGTTGGGGCACTGTCCCAGAACATTCCAGACCCAACTTCGAAACGAAAGCCCCATACTCAATTCAGCACGCCTCACTGGTCTGCGGACGCAAACTTACTTGCAATAACATACTCGGCTGGTCAAGCCGCGCGGAACCCAGGGTCTGGAAGCCGGGATTGGCCATGGATACCTCCGCAGGCCCTCATCAGGTCAGGAATCCTCCAGGGTCTGAAGCCTCCTGGGCGCACGCCTTCACGCACGCCCCCACCGTAATCCGTTTTCTGGCGGCGAGCGATGGGGGGAACTGACAAGGAGAAAACCTTCTCAGGAGGCGGCGGGGCTCCTCGGAAGGCCTCGCGCTTTCTGGGAAGCCGTCGATGCCTTCGGGGAAGGCTCCGAAGACCTCTCAGGAGGCCGGGGGACTTCCGAGCCTTCCGAGAAGGCCCGCCCCCCTCACGTCCCCCTAGGGATCACCGCCGAGAAGAAGAAGAATAAACAGAAGAAGCAGAGAAATTACTCACTGCGCGGAGATACCCATATGAGCATCTTTTTAAAAGGATAATTGCCATTGGGATCTGGGTGTGCGCGTCTAGCCATGCAACGCAAAATGCGAATATCATGTTTAGACATCCTCACAGAACGGCCACGAACGGAGCCTTGAAAACACCCTTGGCGGCTCCCCCTAGGAGTGCTGAAACCAGCGCCCCGCCTGAGACATCCGCACAATCTACTCTGGTAGCCAAGGAAGTTGAAACAGAAAAAAATCAAACCGCTTGAGACATCCCCACAAAACGACCGCGAACGGGACCGTGAAATCACCCCTGGCGGCTCCCACTAGGGGTGCTGAAACCAGCGCCCCGCAATTCTGAGTATGAGGTAGTCTGGGTATGAGTGAGTCTCAGTATGAGTAAGTCTGAGTAGGAGTAAATCTGAGTATGCATAGGTCTGAGTATGAGTAAGCTTGTGTCTATTCGCATGGACCTGTCCGCCGTGAATGTCTAGGCGAAAAAGCTTTCGAATACAAACGGGTTTCAGTTGTGACGGTCTGGTCATGACTCTTACTGAGAACGAATTGGAGTGTGAATGAGCCTCAGTAGTACGAGCGCGTCTCTGCGCATGAGCCTGGGTCCTCCTGGGGCCTCCTGAAACCTACTGGGGCTTCCTGGGGCCTCCAGGAGCCTCTTGGGGCCTCCTGGGACCTCCTGGGGAGGATTCGTGCCCCAGGAGAGGCGCAATATATAGCAACAGACGTACATTAAAACATTGCGGATTGGAGCTACAGGAGAAGGGGGCAATCTATAGGAACACGCGTAAAACACCAAGGAGTCGTGCCCCAGGAGAGGCCCTATAGGAACATGAGTACACAGGAGAAGGACCATATATAGAACCATACGTATAACATCAAGGAGTCGTGCTCCTTTTCTTGGAACTCGTCCACGGCTCGCGCAGCGCAAGCTCGGTCGGGCCGCCGCGGCGGCCTCTGCAGGGAGGCGGCAGCCTCGGGGCGGAGGCAGCAGAGGAGCTGGCGGCCATTAGGCCCCCCAGCCGCTGCCTCGCCCCGCGCTCAGCGGGCCGCGTCCCTGGCCTGCGCCTCCTTCGGTGGCAGGCCCTGCCTGGGTCCTCAGCCCCCGCGGAGGAGGGGGAGAGCGAGAAATGGAAAAGACTGGGGGCTGCCCAGCCACAAGAAAAACAAACGAGTCAGGCTGCTTAGAGGCCTGGTGCAGCAATCGCGGCCTAAGATGGGCTCACGTTGGAACGTAGCCGAAGAGGTAAGAAAGGGCACCCCTCAGAAGTTGCTCTGCCTCAGAAACTTGAAGTACACGTAGCAGAGTTGCTCGAAGTATGCAGCCACCCAACTGGAATACCTGAGCACATATGGAAACGGCAATGTCGGGACTGCCGCAAGAGGGGGAGAGCGAAAAGGGCAGCGACGCCGTGAAGCGCATGCTGCGAGCAAGCCGCGAGCTGCCTCGAGTGGCTGGCTGGCCAGGCCCTCAGCCCCCGCGGAGGAGGGGGAGGGCGAAAGGGCAGCGATGCAGAGAATCGCAGGCTGCGAGCAGGCCACGAGCTGCCTCTAGTGGCCTGCGCACGCACAAAAGCCCCTGCGCGCGGGACAAGACAACCGCCGAGGAGCAGGGAGAGGCGCGAGAGCTGCGCTGAGGCGCCGCCGCCTACCGCGGGTGCAGACGATACGACGACGGATCACCAGCCTCAGCCCTAGGAGCATACGTCAAACACATGGGATTGGAGCCAGGCGCTCCTGTTGCCTTCTGAGGCCTCCTGCTCCTGGGGCCTCTCGGGGCCTCTTGTTGCCTTCCGAGGCCTCCTGGCGCTTCCTCTGGCCTCCTGGGGCCTCCTGTGGCTTCCTGAGGCCTCCCGGAGCTTCCTGGGGCCTCCCAGAGCCTCTTGGGACATCCTGTGGCCTCTTGAGTCTTTCCGTGGCCTCCTGATGCCTCCTGGGACCTCATGTGGGCTCCTGGGGCCTCCTGAAACCTGTTGGAGCCTCCAGTGGCATCCTGAGGAGAACCTGTGCCCACGAGTCTGGCCACCGATCGAAACATCCTAAAAATCTGGCCCACCTGGGGGTGAAAATGACCGCCTCGCTGAGACATCCTCCAAACCTGCTCCGAAAGCGAAGGATGTTGGGACAGAAAACAAACATACCGCTTGAGACATCCCCACAAGACGGCCGCGAACGGGACCGTGCAACACCCCTCGAAGGCTCCCCTTAGGGACGTGAAAATGAGCGCCTCGCTCGAGACAGCGTCCAAATCTGCTCCGAAAGCGAAGGATGTTGGGACAGAAAACAGGCAAACCGCTTGAGGCAACCCAACAAAACGGCCGCGAACGGGACCGTGCAACACCCCTCGGCGGCCCCCCCTAGGGACGTAAGAGCGCCTCGCTCGAGACATCCTCCAAATCTGCTCCGACAGCGAAGGATGTTGGGACAGAAAACAGGCAAACCGCTTGAGGCATCCCCACAAGACGGCCGCGAACGGGACTGTGCATCACCCCTCGGCGGCTCCCCTTAGGGACGTGAAAATGAGCGCCTCGCTCGAGACACCGTCCAAATCTGTTCCGAAAGCGAAGGATGCTGGGACAGAAAACAAGCAAACCGTTTGAGACATCCCCACAAGACGGCCGCGAACAGGACAGTGCAACACCCCTCGGCGGCTCCCCTTAGGGATGTGAAAATGAGCACCTCGCTTGAGACATCCTCCAAATATGCTCCGAAGGCAAAGGATGTTGGGACAGAAAACGGACAAACCGCTTGAGGCATCCCACAAAAAAATCGGCAGCGAAAGGGGCGCGCGTGAGTCTCAGCATGAGTAAATCTGAATAGGAGTAGGTCTGAGTATGAGTATGTCCGAGTATGAATAATTCTGTGTGTGAGTAAGTCTGGGTATGAGTACGTCTGAGTGTGAGTCAGTCTGAGTATGAGTAGGCCTGGGTATGAGGAGGAGAGGGGAGGAAAAGGGGAAGAAGGAGAAGAAGGATAAGTCGGCGGCGCCCAAGAAATTACTCGACGCGGGGCTCCCCACATGTGCAGATCATTATGTTGGTACGTATTTCTCTTGATATCTGTCAATGAGCGCCTGTGTGCGAGGGCGAACCGCTCGCTCGGGACATCCCCACAGTCTGCAAGCATGAGTGCGACCAATCGCAAATCTGAGAGCGACTGATTCTGAATGTGAGTTAATATGAGTGCGGTTGAGCCTGGGTTTGAGTGGGTATGCGTGTGAGTAAATATGGGCGCGAGTGCGTCTGTGTGCGAGTGGGTCTGAGTATGGACGAATCTGAGTGTGAGCCAGTCCGTGATTGAGCGGATCGTAGCATGATGAGTCTGAGCATGAGTGACTCTGGGCTTGAGTGGGTCTGAGTGTGAGAAAAAGTGTGCTAATGATTATGAGTGCGAGTGGGCCGAG